TCTAAGCAGCTGCCTGACACATTGCCCGAAGGCTTTATTAATCGTCGTTTGAGAACTAGTGTCAGACACATTGAATTGGTTGTTGGTTCTGTTGATACAGGTGTCTTCAAACATGTTCTTTGACCCACCTCTACTATTTTCTACAAAAACAAAGGAATGTTCAACCCTGTTTGAGTCCAAGCAAAAAGGAAGACTCTGTTGAAACCACTCAGAGTGGGCCCCAAGACAGGCTGAAGAAAAGTACCCCAAATCTCGCAGGAAAGGGAGTACTGTAAATAGTTGAGGAAATAAGTATCCCAAAACTTTTTGATAAAGAGGCAGTCAGATAGTGCGAGGAAGAATATCTTGATAGAAGACATTGACATGTTCGTAGTCCCGTCAACCAGCCCGCCGATCCAAAGACTTGCGCCTTCCCACTGAGAGTAAAGGCAGCCCCAATCCCCTAGGACCTTAGAGGCCGGCATAGTCGCAACAAAGTTCATCAAAGGACACCAACATGTGGCTGTGGGTCCAAAGTCGAAGCCCGTTTCACCACTCATAGACTCATAGTCTATGCATGTCTATTCTGTCCATTTTCAGCGGTCAACCAAGGTGCCTGGGCTTTGACCCACAACCATGTATGTGGCAGCTATCACAATCTTGTGGTTGGTTTCAGTGGTGTGGGGCAGTGACTTGGGATAATGTCTTGAGATGATAGGCTCCAACCCAGCAGTATATATCTTGAATGTGAAGAAACTTCTCACTAGCTAGGCTAGCCGCCAAGTTCATGAGACCTCAAAAGGGGTACTTGGCTGCTACTGATGGATGGCGTTGCTTGATTTCTGATCAAACGTTTCCTCCCGCAAATTCTGTTTATGTTGCTTTGGTTGTTGGGAGTATGATTGAAAAAGAATAGGGGAATTACAAGACTCTTGTGAAGAGGTAGTATCTTGGGTCAAGTCCCCAACAACATGTCCTCATAGGAAAACATAATTGCTTTCCTTCATTCGTCAGATCACCCAGCTTATGAGCAGATCCAGGAGCGAAGTGGTCAATGAGCGGAGTTGAGAGACAGGAAAGACATGACTACAAGCAGTAAAAAAAAGGTTCCTTAGGCAATTTACTTGCAAACTTGCAACACTAACATCTATGGTGGGGGAGTTTTCAAAACGTTTGAACAAATCCAGTCATTCGCCACTAAAATAGCCCACAGAAGGGGAGTTGATGTCATTTGCAAGCACTTTGAGGCATGCACGAGACCAAAAAGCAAAACATGTAAATGGCAAAGGGACTTATATAGGTCACCTATAAAGACTTGGGCCATATTCTTCGTCAGCACATCAATCACACGCAAAGAAAATGATAGGTTGACTCAAACACGACCACCACTGAGCCGACACGCGAAGTGGACATCAGCGACATCACTCCATGTGTTTGCTTGAAGAGATTAATGGCAACCACTTTCTGTTGAAAGCGGTTGGCGGGTGCTGCCGTTGTCGTTCGTTCGTGGGGGGGGGTGTCCGGGTGTCCGGACAGGCCAGCCATCCATCTTCATCTCGCCTGAACACATGTCCGCCATCGAGAAGGAAACGGTCTTCATCTCGCTTTGTACAAGATAGGTGGAGACCAAAAAACATCGGGCAAGATCACACCCCGAGATGGTGTCCAGGAATTGGTTCACATCCAGTTGCTGTAGGGTCTCCCTATTCTGCTACACACGTCCATTCAAGGGTCCGTTGCTCAGAGGTTTCTAGATCCACAGTCTTGCCAGTGAATTTGGAGTTATCAACCAAATGCTCCCGGTTTGTTCCAACTAAGATCCAGTTGTTTTTACATCACTACTTCTCATCTTCAACCTTCAACACTGTTCTTTTTTGGCACGCCCCATGTTGTCACTCACTTAGGGGTGATCCAAATCCGGAGAAATTCAGCATCTGGAGGAGTGGATGCCCAGAATGCGACGCGATGCTACCACAAAAAGATGCTTTCCTGTGCGGCAACGCAGAATTCGTTGCTTCATCTCACTGAGTGGGATTCAACACGTCCAAAAAAAACCGTGGATTTCTCAAGACCGAACTGAAGGCATTGATGACATAACGAATAGACTCGCCAGATGTTCTTCTTGATTCACCGTCTCCAGTGGTGGTAACAATCGCACCAACATACGTGTGGTGTGGATTGTTCAACAAGCAACCAACTAACATGTCCCACAAAATGACACCAAACATGACCCAACATCTCAGGCCTCAAGTCTCCAAACAAGGTGGTATACACCTCACCCAAACACATCCTCCTCCTCCTCATCCGAACCCGTACTCGACAAAAAGGCACCGCACGCCCACGGCAGCGTCGTCTCCTTTCATCCCTGGGATCGGCCTTCCCAAAGGCGAGAGCTCGGAGAGGACCAGCGGAGCAGAAACTTGTTGTCCTCCCGACGCCGCGGATGGCCACGGATGGCCACGGGTGGGAAGCACCGGCGCGAAACGAAGGGACCGGTTGACCCAGAAGTGGCGCATGGGGCCCAGTGGAAATCGATGTGGCCAATTCCAGAGAAGCCTAGGAGCTCCTGGCCTTACTAGGAACAAGGACGCTACGAACGGGGCTCCTGCCCTAAGAAAAGGCAGCTTTCCAGGACTCTTGTGACAGCGTCCATGAGCCACAGGCTTCCGTCCGTCAGATTCACCACGGTACCAACTCTGTTTTCACCTACCTACACCAGGTTTCCACTGGCATGTGACACTACAAATATTTTGAAGACCATCAAATCATTATGTAAAAGTAATCCCATTATATACTCATATAACTAATTGTAACTATATACACATATGATCCTTACTGGTTTATATATGACATATTTTACACATGTAAATTAGTGATGTAAGGACTTTCCTACCCTATGCGGCTGCATCATTAGTGTCTTTTTGGTTGTGAAGTTACAAGCCAACACAACTAGTTGCCTTCAATCCAGTACCACCAACATAGCAACCCTTCGAGCTACAAGCACTGTATATATATATGGGACATGACCTCTACCCAGTCATGTGAAATCCAACTCGCTTCGCTTCGGAAACCTTTCAGCGCGCGCACGCAGAAAGAAGATGGACACCCATGGTGGAGCCGAGCTCCCTCTTTGCTGACCAAAAGTGACCAACTTTTGGAGTTCTCCAAAGCTCTTCTCGTGTGATGTCCGGGGAGATCCGCAGTATCTAAAAGCTTCCAGCTACCCCAGGGTCATTTCCGTCAGTTAGATCCAGGTGATTCCAGGTGCTTTTGTGGGTGGCAAAAAAAAACATATGTTCTCTATATGCTCTTGACGCGTTTTTTTGACTGAACTCTCAGGCATCAAAGCAAATAAATGATCTTCAAAGATCTATGTATCTTCTTCCATTGATCCGACTGCTTTTGGGCTTGGGGTCATCAAGCAGTCTCAGCGGAACATACACCGCCCTTTGTGGGCTCAACAGCCATCGTCCCAATGGAGTGACCATGTCCCAATGATGCGACCCGTGAATACCCATGATCCTTCGTTTTTTTCACGCCGTGATATGGCAATGTGAACGTCTCCCTTTCGAATGGACCGAACAAAACTGAACGTGCATAGGAATGTGTCAGCAAAGTTTGACCGCGGGCTCGACATGAAAAAAATGTGAAAATCGGCTGGGGAGATCTACAAATTGCTGGCCCTCCCATACAATATACATATATAACTATTTCAAAAACAAACATAGATAAATATAAATATAGAGCTACTTGCCCCGTCCAGTTTTTTTTAGGGTAGTGATCATGGCTTTATAATCCAACCCTGGGAAAGCTTATTTACTATAAAATGCCAGCACACCTCTTTGATTTTCTAGTGGAAATTCAGACCACGATGATATATATGTATATATACAAACAATAATATTTAATATATACAGTATACACCATGTTACCCCATTTGTTTGTCTTGGAAGGATAAGGGAGGATAGACATGTCCCAAACCCTATGAACCCTTTGGTGACAAACTACCCTCAGCTCATCTGATGAAAGCTGACAAAGCCTTCGCCATCTTTGAAGGAAGGTCCCCAACAACTTGCGAGACTCCCAGCTGGAAATGGAAAATCTCATTGAAGCCGTTAAAAAACGATGGATTTAAGCCAGCTCAGAGATGTAGGTGATATCCTCAGCTCAGAGATGGGCAATTCTTTTTTGCAACATGGAAGTCTGACTGCCCCGACCATCGGTTATAAATCACGGTGCGTGATGCCGGGCGCCGGCTATCGCTCCGATCATCTAGCGGAACATCAATTCTGGTCTATTTGGTAAGGTCACGTTCGGAACAAGCTTCGAACATCAAGTTTCAGATGCTTTAAATGCCTTATCTACTAAGATCTTCCATCTCGTAGATTTTTCATATGCAGTTTATCTTCGAGTGATCGTTGAACATGTTGAACATCGCATGTGGTCTTTCGTGATCGTTGTACATGGAACCAACCAGAGGAAGCAGGAATCATGTGTAAAGCAGCAACACCGTTTTCATGAGAAACACAAACAGTAACAGCTAGAGCTCACTTCATGAAGACATTGATTCCCAAAACCCCCTTAAGAAGAACAGGTCTTACACTCGTGTTTTTTCGGGGTTGTTAACCCAACGCCCACATTGACTACATCACCAACGCCTCTGAACATCACCAACGCCTCTACTCAACCTGGATCCACTCCACTCCACCCTCCCTGAGGCCATGTCGTCCCAGGGATGTCGGTAGAGCGGCTGCTTCAGCCTGGCTCAATGGTTCGGTGAAATGCCACAGACTTCTGGATACAATACAAACTTCTGATAATTAACTACCATATATTATAGATATATATATTATATAATACTATATATACAGTATATATATATATATATCGATTATGAGTATTGTATACTTTCGTGCATGTGGAGGGGTGTTTCGGGGCTACCACTTCCGGATGTGGAGGGGTGTTTCGGCGCAACTTGGTCAACTTGGAGGTCCCTTCATCTTAACCGAAGAGGTGCGCCTTCAAAACATCCGTCTGGCGTATCCTTCATGTCTCCAAGACTGCAGTGCAAATTCCTGGTCTCCCCGGTACTTCTTGGTGTGTTCGCCCGACCTGAGACCCTCTCCACACCCGTATCGCCCCAGGATCTCGTCCTCGTCCTCCCCCTCCGACCTGAGTTGATCGAGGTGATGGCCGATGAAGCCCATGGAGCGGCCCAGGACGAAAAGGCCGTTCAGGCAGCCGAAGTTCATAAGGTCGTCAGCCTCCCAGGCATGGCATCTTTCATCCCGTGCTGGTCGTCAGCGGCTTCGGGGCGATGGAAGGCTTTTGATGGCTTTTGTACAAGGCGGGTCAACTCATCTGGGCGGGGTTCAAAACGGTTGGGATATTTGCTGAACGTTTTTTAGCTTTCGGGTGACACGTCGTGGGTCCTGGGTCCTTGACCAGAAATGATGTGCATGCGAGGGCGAAGATGCTGTGAAGAACAGACGTCGCGTGTTTCCGCGTGTGTCAAACAAGTCAAAACACCAGGACAATGCCAGAAACAACATGGAAAAACGATGCATCAAACATCGTCAAACAATCAGAATACTTGGATGTCCAAAAAAAATGTAATTGGTCGTGACTTTCAGTCTGGATGATTGCTGCAACCATGGCGGACACGTTAATTGCACAGCTGGAGATGTGTTTTCGCAAACTGCAATGGTTCTTCCATGTCATATACAGTCTATCGATGTCGGTTGCCTCCCAATCGACTCACTGGAAGTGCTGCCGGAAAATGCTGGACAACATCCGCAAACGCTCTCTGGAACCCGCAACAGACATCAGCGGATGCCCCGAAAGCCCCAAGGCCTCCACATTCCAGTGGATGATGTGGGTTCACAGGCACCAAGTGCGAGTGATGGACAAATGTTCAGCTTGGAATCCTAGTGAACCCCGCACAGGAAAACAATGCCGATAATCCAGCTACAATTCCCGTGTTTTTGAGAACGTCCTTTGCCTTTAAGTAAACGAGACGCCTCCTCTCGGGAGAATGCACCACAGGAGCGGAGCATGTCGGTGAAGCAAACCGCAATGCAGCCGTCCACGTTGAGGATGAGATTCGCCCTTTTCCTGAGGCGGCGCGTGAACGCCGGCCACCAGTGCACTTCTCCGCAGCAAAATCGATGTTTTTTGTGTGCTGTGCGCAGAACTACATGGCATTTTGGAAATACACACATACATACATACCTACCTACGTACATACACTACATTTCATTACGCAACAATACAGTACGTTTCATAACAAACAAACATACATAAACACACATTACATACAAAACATAAAATAACATACAAAAACATGAGTACATACATACATACATACATACATACATACATACATGCATTACTTGCATTACATTACATTACATTACATTACATTACATTACATTACATGCATACATACCATGCCGCACAAGTCGTGCAAACTTCACATACCTTACAGTCCATACATAACATACATACATACATACAGACAGACAAACATACTTACGTACTTACATACATACATACGTACCATACCGTACCGTACAGTACCATACCATACCACAGGCACACACCATACATGAATACCAAAAGTACATACATTACATACAATACGTACATTCCTTACATACATACCATACAGAACATACATTACATCACATTACACTACACTGAGTTACTTTGCATTGCGTCGCATGACATTACATCCATCCGTCCGTCCGTCCGTCCGTCCATCCATCCGTCCATCCATCCATCCATCCATCCACCAAGGGCCATCAGCTGCTCATGCGCACCCCACAGTGCCGCGGGCTAGTGCGGCACCTTCCGCCCCCCATGACATCCTCAAGATCATGATGTCCTTGTTCTTGGAGGTCCCGCTATACCAGGCGCCTGCCCTCTCTTTAGATCCAACTTCTGGCTTTGGGCTCTACCTGGTCCTCTTCACCTTCGTCCCGGTCTTGGTGCTTCCGATCTTGGTGCTGAAGTCCGAGTACCACCACTCCTGGTCCGGCACCTCACATAAATACTGCGCATCAAGAAGGGCATCTCCCACTGGGGCTGGCTTCAAAGCAGCTAACCTGGGTCCCAAGTCCCACACCAAGACGGCATACCTGCTCCTGATCAACTTCATTGCGATGTCCCAGCCTCTTCGTGCTGAGGCACTGTCCTGGTGGCCCGAGGGTTGCCTCTACGGCAGGAGCCCCTCGAGCTAGACACACCCCCTTCAATTGAATGGGGCGAAAACATCCCACAAGAAAGCTTTTCGTAAGGCCTGTAATCAAGCTGCCAGAACAGGAAGTGCTTCCTATCATGGTCAACTACATAATCTCAAGAGCTTAGTTACCTGGGGGTGGACCCCACCAGCCATTTTTCATGGTCACAAACCGCCGCACCAGCAAGGCAGATCGAACTCGACCACGTCCAAACGACTTCGATACACCTGTTGGAACTGTGGAGGACTCCCATCTTGCATGGAGACTGGATGAATTGCGCATCTGGGCCAACGGATCCCGGATGGACCTCCTGGTCATCACGGAGACTCACTGGACTCAGGGCTATGAATGGGCAGATCGCAACCGGTGCTACATTAGCCACGGAAGCTCCACTGCTTCTCACTCTGGCATTCTCATCATGATTAATAGAAGATTGTGTGCACCACATGACACTGCACCCACATCCATCCTGCCAGGTAGACTCATGCATATTCGTTTGTATACTGCACCCAGAGCAGTTGATGTGATTGCCACTTATCAGCACTCTGGTACACGTACCACTGACTTGCTGACCGCCAGGCACACATTGTGGGATGCCTTGGATCGTTTGCTGATTCGATTGCCACACAGACACATGCTCCTGTGCCTTGTTTTAAAATTGTAATCTGCCTGCCATCCCAACCTTGGCGCCAGTTGAGACCTTCAAAACCGTCCCAGGAAGTTGCCATCGACTGCCCCTCATCCGGATAGCCATGAGTTTTGCCATCTTGTTAAAACGCATAACCTCATTGGACTCAGTGGCTTCCAGGTTCACCATGGGACCTTCACGAACGGCCGGAGTACATCCAGAATTGACTTTGCTTTCACTCGGGCTGCCTGTGTCGACAAGCAAGCCAAGGAGTTTCGACCGCAGTATGACTTCCCCCTCACTGCCAACATGATTTCATATCATATGCCACTAAGTAGTTCCATGGCCATCCACTGGCACCGCAAGATCGCTCACACCAGACCTACCACCATCGCGCTGCAACAACGTGAACGTGCGCACCGTGCCAAGGAGACCTCATCAGGCAGTTGGACAGAGTTTGCTGATCGTGCCAAAGATCTGTTTGCCGAGGACTGGTCCGCGTCCATGCACACTGTCCAAAGCATGCACACTCGTCTTCGACAGCACTTTGCAGAGTCCTTTCCCCCGGCAGGTCATGCACAACCCTCGTGGCAAATCAACGAAAGTGCAGTTCAGCAGAAATGGACCCTTTGGCACAAAATACAAACCCATGATGATCATTCTCGTAAGGGGCTGTTTCACGTTTGGCACCAATACTGCATGTTTCAAAAGCTACACCGACTTCACCAACAGTACGCCAAGGACTGGCGACAACGCCGGATCAAAGACCTGATGACTGAGGTGGCAGAAGCAGCTGCACGTCATGACACGTACAAAGCCTACCAACTGATCAATCAAATATCCCCCAAAGCTGTGCGTAAACGCATTCAATTAAGGGATAATCATGGCCAACCACTAGGCCCTATGGAGTCACACGCAGCGCTCGGTAGGTACGTTCTGGACACCTGGGCTGCTCCACTGACTGCCAGGAGCCAGCCCCACACACCGACGGAGTTCTCCTGGCGGGAAACCCTTTTGCCGATCTTTAAATGCCCTTCACGGTGGAACAGCTGAAAAAATACATTGGCAAACTCAAATGGAGCAAAGCCATTGCTTTGCGGACGAAGTTGCGTCCAAACTGTTTGAACTTCTTCGACTGTGGTGGCACTCTGAGCAGCCCTTCCTTCCATCCTCACGGAAGGACAGTTGGATGGTATGGTTAACTAAACCTGGCAAGACCCCTGATCACCCCAAACACCTGCGTCCCTTGGCTCTCCAGGAACCATTAGGCAAATGCGTCATGACCTTGTTCGCTCAGCATCTTCGTAATTTTGCTTTCATGAAGTTGTGCACTTGGCCCCAATGGGCCTACATCCACGGACGGGGAACGGGTGACGCCCTTGCCAGAGTGTCTGCCCACTGTGAGTTGGTGCAGAGCAAGCTTCGAGCGCATGCACGAAGAACACCTCATAGCATAGCGGAAGGCCATGCCTTGGCACCAATCTGTGGGGGTTTACAGTTGTTTGTGGACCTCAGTAGAGCTTTCGACTCTATACCCCGCCAATATGTGTTTCAAAGTGTTGTTGACCTCTGGGTCCCTCCCCTGCTGTACAAGCTGATTCGATCATGGCACACGGACACTCACTATAGAGTCACCACCACTAACTTCACAGATGCTGTACCCACAGAGGTTGGTATCCGTGAAGGTTGCACTTGCGCTCCCATCCTGTGGAGCATTTCCATGTGGAGGTTGATGATTCAGTGTTTTCATGATTTTGGACCTTGGATTCTGGAAGCCCTCAACCTTTTTGCTGACGACTTTCATGTGTGTGACACGTTTGACAACGCCAACGCCTTTGTTGAATGCCTTCACAAGCTCGATCAACTTCTTGATATTGTTGAAGAAGCCGGACTCACCATTGATTTGGATAAGACCCAGATGATCCTTGCTTTGAAGGGCACGAAACAGGCCCAATTGCTCAAGCAGCACACTGAACGTTCGTCCAAAGGATGGTACATCCTGATTCCTCGGAAAAAATGGGGTGACCTCCAGAATCAAACTAGTCAAGCAGGCCGTACACCTTGGAGCTGTCATCAATTATACTGATCATAAAGATGCCACCGTTCGTTCTCGCATCAAATGCAGTCTCAACGCCTTCAATCGTTTGAGAAAGTGGCTTTGTGGTTCCAGATGTCTCACTCAGAGGAACAAATTTCAGCTCTGGCAGTCATGTGTACTTAGCATTTTGCTATATGCACTCCCTGACATTGGAATCACTGCCAAAGGCTGTCATCACATACTCTCAAACATCATCACTATGCTTCGAAGGATATACAGAGATCATCCATATCACACTGGACGCACCCACCAAGCCTTTTTCAGCATCATGGCCTGCCAACGACTGTGACCATTGTTCGACAACGACTTGAAGCCCACCTTCTGAGATTGCGCACCAGGCTTGACTGGGCTGCAGCTGATGATATTGTTCATAAACGTCCCATTGCAGCTACAGAGCAGTTTCTGCATCTTTTGTCAAACTGGACACAGGATCCCTCACACCTGTCACTGACTCAACCAGCTGACGCATTCGCATGTCCGGACTGTCAGGCCTCCTTTCAGAGCCGCACCCTTCTTGCCCAACACCGAATGCAGGACCATCGAGTCCTTTTGATGCATCCTATCGGGTTCGGTCATGCACGGGACGCACATAAAGGATTACCCACATGTGCCCACTGTCTAAGAGATTTTCAAGATTGGTCCCACCTTCGTTTGCACATCACCAGCAGAGCTTGTCTGGCCTTCGCTGCCTCGAAGGACATAAATGATGACATCGTTCGAGCCCAACTACAACTCCGATTTCATTTGATGGCTGAAACATGGGATGACATCCCAAAAATGGAAGGGCTACGAGCTTTCCTGAGTATACCTGGTGCATCTTGTGCCAAAGGTTCATGCCTCGGACACAGGAACTGACTTCTCATCTTCGACACAGCCACAGCCATCTTGCTGACAGAGCTGTCCAAGCAGGGAGAGACTACATGCACCACCGACAGCGAGATCCCTGCACCCTGTTTCAACGTCCTCACCGCTGCCAAGGACACCTCTGCCCTGCAGCGGTCAACATCCACCTGTTTGCACTTCACCACACTGGCCAACCAGTGGGAGTACCTTCGACCTCCAAAGCTGCAGCGCTAGGCAGTCAATGCC